CTGCGCTCGGTCCATACAAAAAAGACCGTGGGCCGATACTCTTCCAGTACGGTCCCGAGCAAGCTTGGTTAATAAGAGATTTATTACACGACTGAAGTTCAAAGGGATACAAGTGTGGTATCATTCGGGACCATTCGGGACAGTGCCCGGTCCAATACTTAGAGAATATTGGACCGGCAATAGAGCATTTTGATTGGTTGATTTTAGTTATTGGCCCTCTGACTGCCCGAGTCGTGTAATAACACGAATTATTACGGAGGATGAGATGAATTAAACGGCGACAAACCATGTCTCATTGCAGCCATTATACCCGGACTGGTCGTTGATTGTTTTCAAATCATCGTGAGGTATAAAGGTGCAATGTAAAATACTTTACCATCCCGCAGTGATGTTGCGTGTTCGAGTTAGTGTATGCTTCCTGTTTCAAAAAGACAATAGAACATTTTATTATCATAATCTTCTTACAGAGTTAATGGGAAATATGTTAATTACAAAACCTGACGTGTATGCTGCAATTGGTCTTTGTCAAGTCTGATAACTTTTCCGCCCTCACCGAAAAGCGCGAGCACCTACCGTAGGGAAAAGATAATAAGTAGGGTGAGGACTTCTGAGGATAGTGAAGACAACAGGTTAGAAAACGTTCTAAGTACTTTAATCTTCCCTTCTTGAATAGACAACGAAGTTGTGAAGTATAATGGTGACTTTTACCAGTTAATTAAAGAACGACTCTAAAAGCTTGCAAGGCAACCACAAAAGTGCAGCAAAGTTGTACGGTTGTCAAGTTGACCTCCCTTAGCTCTCTTTTATATCATAGGCCAAGAACTTTCGGAGATTTGATTGGTTGACAGTATCATTATTTCAGTGTAAGGGTAATATAAAAGAGCAAAAGGGGCTGGTGTAACAACGTTATCGTGACAACACGTTCAAGAAAGAATAGGGTCGAAAGATTGTTACGAATGCAGATGCCTGTGTTTGTTTTTTTCAACCGTAGCGAAATAAAGGTCTTTTGTGCGTTTCCAAAAATTTCTAGGCTTCTGTTTTAGACAAATAATAGCATGACCTGTACAAGGTATTTGGCAATAAAACCGGCTCGTAATATATCAAAATTGTCCAAATAGTGCTCATCGCTTCGCGGCTCATGGTATTTTGGACAATTTTCAAGGTTTATATCACTCGCGGTTTCATTTCCATTCACCACCACAACACCATGCTATTACCTATACTTATGACATCATTTGCATCATTACCAAAGATGATTTGACGACCACTTGATCATCTACTGCACACAGTAAAGTTTTGAAGCGAAGATTATAGATATGTTCGATTCATTTCAAAAGTCAGCTTTCAATTTTTCCAATATTTGACACGCGCAGAGATAATGCTGATGAGACCATAATGGAGAGAATGCGGCTCCCTAGAGAGTCTCAAATGCTTTTTTATCGGTAATTCTAATGGACGTAATTTTTCCAAACGGGTAAAAATACCAAAAAAACTGAATGAACTTACCATAAAAATGTTGATCAGCATAAGAAACATACTGACCAGGAGTGGTACCAGTTTAGGATGAAAAGAATTGGCTGTAGTTGCGTCTTTGTCATTTGTACAGCCTTCCATGTCTTCTTCTCGATCTTCTTCAAAGTCAAAGGGGAATTCGTCATCCTCAATTATTGGCAGATCATCCTCACCTTCCTCCAAAAGATTTTGTTCCCGCTGCCATGATAAAATTGATGATCGATTTATTTATAAGCAAGTGCAAGAGGTCACTCAGTATTTACAAAAAAAAAATTACAATTAATTCCATTTTATCTTCTCCATCATTAGCCATCCCCTACCCTCTCAGGGTAAATACTTATTCCTTTGAAGTTTTTCTGTCTTAACCAGCTAGAATTTTATTGTCCCCCTAAAGTCGGAGGATTTTTTTTTTTTTTCTGAAGGTGAAAAGAATATCACAAGCTGGTATTGTTGCCTCCCTCCTTTAAAAAAAAAGACGAGAGATTATATTTAAAGTATCTGCGTCAATATTCTTTACTTGTATAAAACAATTGTGTAAACTAATAGATTATTCCTGGTGCTTTATGAAAGCTAGGCTACAATGATTTTTAATATAATTCAAACAATACTGGGTGTAATCACGAAGACTAAGATGTAGAAACAGACCAACCAGAAACTCTAGCGTGTTTTCATTTGCAGCCGACTGTATTAGGTATATATACAGCCATATACTCTTGCTTGCTCGCGGAGTGCCAAGCTTTTTTTCACTTTTCCAGAAGAAATTTTATACTATCGTTTGGGGGAATTTCAAAATGATCGGTCTTTATTTTTAGAGATATTTTTTTAACTGTGGAGACATAGGGAAGGACAAAGCTTCTGGGGTAAACTCTTCTTTCAAAATAACACTATAGGGGAAAAAGTGAACGGTAGGCTGATAAACTTACTTTGTTAAACAAGAGAATTACGCGTGATTTCATTTACCTCAAGAACAGCTATTAATAGCATGGCTGTAATATAGCTACTGAAATCTGCCTGAGGTCTTAAAATCGTTTTCCACCAAGATTTGACAAATACTGGAAGATCAAGACAAATGTCATGGCACAAGTTTAAGACAAGAAGTAAACCGTAAAAGGTCGCAAATCGACAAAAATATAACAATAAAAGAAATTAGAAAGGCATCATTATCTGTTACTAAAACAATTCCTGCACATATTTCGGCACAATGATATCAATTGTCTTCTGACATCGGTTAAGGC